ATTTCTTTATTACAGTAGCATAGTGCAACAGTGTATGCACTCTAAAGTTACTGTACAGAGCAGTCTTACTGTAAGTACACCTACCTGTTTTCCTCCCTGAAGGTTCTTATGATCGAGGCGACGGTGAAGCAACTTAAGTTTGGCTGTACTCATTGTCCCAGCCTCCTCATAGTCATACCATGGACAAGGACATGGTCAACTAGTGGCACGAATTTCGCCTTCTCGCCTTGCCCCTCATCCTCATCCTCATCCTCCTCCTCTTCCTCTTCCTTCAACTCTTCCTCCACTCCTTACTGCTCTTGCTCATCCTCTTCCTCTTCCTCCTCCTCCTCCTCTCTGGTGTCCTCGACCTTTTCAATCACATCTCTCTGGATCCATTGTTCCAAAACTGAATGAACTGACTTGGGCTCTTTTATCTATCTATTGAAGGTTCTGATTGGTGTGTGATAAATTTTGACTCTTAGTGGGTAACTGTGTGCTAATTGAGCTCAAGCTATGCTGACTTGAGTGAACAATATTGAATGCTAGTGCTTTCTAAATGACAACATGGTCTAGGCAATGAGAAATGAAGGGATTTGTGTGTAGAGTTTTGCAGTGACAGTTCAACAAATCTGATTCATGTGTCAAAAAGGGGAATAGTGTTTGTAGTTTAGGAAAATGGGTGTGCTTTTTGATAAATGGCGTTATGGTTTTGAAATTTTAGTTCAAAAGCCTGATGATAGTGTTTAAGCAATCGAGAAAAACTGTAATTGATATGATTTTAACAGTCTATGCACTATGATCGACTACATGTTCCTATTGGATAGAAAACCAATGCCAATGTTCTGACTGAATGACTCGATTTTGATTTGGGTTTGCTGTGTTTTGACAGAGTTAGTAAATGAAATGTATTTATTTAACAAAATGTGGTTTTGGCCGGAAAATTAACTATTTGGCTAATTGTGTGATGTAGGTGTGTTGCTGTGTTAAGAGTTTAGAAAAAGTACTTTAAGTATTGGAAAAATGCTTGTTTAGCAATTGAAAAAAACTGTAACTCTTGGGAACGTGATATTATGTCGTGGCCACGAGATCATTTTGTCGAGGTAACGACATCCTTATGTCGTGGCCTCGAGATGCTATGTTGAGGGAACGACATATTTTTCTCGTGGCCACCAGTTTAATGGTAAACACACCTGGGTGACCATAGCAACCCGGGATTATCAGAGATGGATTTATTAATATTTTATTTTGAATTTAAAAAAAATTATTATATTATTTATTATAGAAATTATTACATTATTAAATTATTTACCATAGGCCTTGGCTACCGGACTGTATTGCGTGCGATAGTCAGCATTCAAATGAAGTTTATCATGATGAATAAATGTTACATAAAGTGCATACTATAAAAAAGGCCTACAAGAAAACATTTTTATCCACCCTACAGTCTTGTAAGTCCTAACTGATCGCCTTTTTCCCGAAATATTTATATATGATTATTATTATTATTATTATTATTATTAGCCTATTATAATTGGTTATATTTTTATATTCGTTTATATTCATTTTTCCCCTTCATTTCGATCGCTTTACTTAACGTTCTGAATAGCCTACTTTTGTAAATAATAGCCTAGCCTACTGTAAATGCTCGACATGCCAATAAAGCTTTGATTATGCTGACTGGAATTTTTAAATTTGCAGTTTAAATTTAACATATATTTCATTTTATTTCGGCTAATTAATAGACAATAATTCTAAATAGGCCTACTATAGTGTTTCGTTGAGGAATTATTCATTCACGTGGTTTCATTTGTAAATGAAAAAAACAACACGTTCATTTATCATCACACATGGGCATAAATACAATCATAAAGACAAAACTTTATTGGCATAAATGTCAGGCGTTTATTTGCAAAATATATGGTAGGCTAGCAAATGCTAGCATAATTATACAAAACGTTTAACTAGGTAAAGACATACACAAATTGAAAGGGGAAATAAGCATATTTAACAATAAATATAAACAATATAGCCCTAATAAGTTAATGTAATAATAATATACAAATATTAAATTAAATGTTTAATGTTAATAAAAATGTTTTATCCATTTTTGATAATCCCGGGTTGCTATGGTCACGCAGGTCTGTTTGCGCATTAAACTCATGGCCACGAAAAAATATGTCCATCCCTCAACATAGCATATCGAGGCCACGACATAAGGATGTCTTTACCTCGACAAAATGATCTCGTGGCCACGAGATAATATCACGTTCCCACGAGTTAATATGACTTCCCTCAAATTAATATCTCATGGCCACGACATATCACGTTCCCACAAGTTATTATGTCGTGGCCACGACAAAACTAAGTGAACCGACCCTGTCACCTTGCGGGCACCGTACACATCTGTAATCGTTGGAAAATAAGTTTTACTGCACATACATGTTTTGTATTGAAGCTTTTCAGCATATGAAAAGCTTCAATACAAATCAACTAGATACAGCATATGCATGCTTTGTTTTGCACACATGAATTAACTCAACTCATCTAAATACAGCACTTCATGCATGGACCATCGCTCGCTGGAAAAGAATGTTTACAGCATATGCATTATATTGAAGTTTGAAATGCACTGTATTGAAGAGTTACAGCCTATGCATGCTTTGTTTTGCACACATGAACTAACTCATCTCAACTAACTACAGCATTTGGATGCTTTTTAATTGCATGCCTGAACAAATTCAAATCAACTAACTATAGCATATACATGCTTCGTATTGCATGCATGAAGTAAGGCTCGCTGGAAAAAAGTTTTACAGCAAATGCATGCTTTGTTTTGAGGTTTTAACGCATATAAATGCTTTGTAGTGTATGCATTAACTAACTCTAATCAACTAACTACAGCATGTGCATGCTTTGTATTACGCAAATGTACAAATTCAACTGAAATAAATGCAGCACACGCATGCTTTGTTTTGCTAATTGAATTAAAGGGGTCATATGATGCTTTTTTAAAGATCATTATTTTGTGTAAATGGTGTTGACATGCTTTAATGTTCAAAAAACATATTTTTCAAATACTGTACATTATTGTAGGTCCTCTATGCCCCGCCTCTCTCAAACTCTTCGTTGTCTCTCCTAGGTTCACGAAACGGTCGTCCATAAAGTGCATTCCTGTTCTGTTGTAAGTGATCTTAAAGATTCCTAAATGCATCTACTTTCGGAAGGCCATCATAAGTCAACTCAACTAAATGCAGCACATGCATTGTGTTTCATGCATGAACAAACTCGCTGGAAAGAAGTTTTACAGCACATGCATGCTTTGTATTGAAGTTTGAAAGCATATGTATGCACTGGTTTAAAGAGTTACAGCATATGCATGCTTTGTATTGCATTATGGATTCTTGGTATTGCATGCATGAACTAAATACAGCATGTATTTTATCTCATCTCATCTGAACTAAATACAGCATGTGCTTGCTATGCAACTCTCGCAATGAAGTAACTCTCGCTGGAATATAAGTTTTAGAGCAAATGAATGCTTTGTAGTGAAGCTTTATTGCTTATGCATGCTTTGTATTGCATGCATGCACTAACTATCGTTGGAAAAGATGAATTTACAGCGTATGCATTCTGTGTATTGAAGCTGTATTTATAGCATGCGTGACCTAACTAATCTCAATTAACTACAGCATATGCATGTTTTGTATTTCACGCATGAACTAACTATCGCTGGAAAAGAAATATGCTTTGTATTGAAGCTTTTCAGTATATGCATGTTCTTTGTTGCAAGCATGAACTAATTCGTCTCAACTAACTACAGCATACGCATGCTTTGTATTGCATGCATGAAGTAACTCTCGCTGGAAAAGATGTTTTACTGCACATGCATGCTTTGTATTAAAACTTTTCAGCATATTCATGCTTTGTATTTCATGCATGAACTATTCAACGACACTAACTACAACACTTGCATGCTTTGTATATGCTTGCATGAACTAAATGTCGCTAGAAAAGAAGTTTTGCAGCAAATGCATGCTTTGTGTTGAAGTGATACAGCATATGCATGCTTTGTATTGCATGCATAAACAAATTCAACTCAACTAAATACAGCATATGCATGCTTTGTATCAACTGTCAAATCAACTATGTATAGCATGTTCATGTCATGTATTGCATGCATGAACTAAACATCGCTGGAAAAGTTGCTTTACAGCACATGCATGCTGTGAATTGATGTTTTTCAGCAAATTCATGCTTTGTCTTGAAGCGGTACAACATATGCATGCTTTGTATTGCATGCATAAACAAATTCAACTCAACTAAATACAGCATATGCATGCTTTGTATCTAAACTTACTACTGCATGTGCATGCTTTGTATTGCATGCATGAAATAACGCTCGCTGGGAAAGAAGTTTTAAAAGACGTGCATGCTTTGTCTTGTTGTTATACAGCAATTGCATGCTTTGTATTGAAAGTTTAAAGCATATGCCTGCTCTGTATTGAAGCGTTACAGCATTTGTATGCGTGAACAAAATCAACTGAACAAAATACAGGACATGCATGTTTTGTATTGAAGCTGTACTGCAAAGGCATGCTTTGTATTGAAGTTTTAACGCATATGCATGCTTTGTATTGCATGCATGAACAAATTCAACTCGACTAAATACAGCATAAGCATGCGATGAATTGAAGCTGTACTTCTTTGTAATGCATGCATGCACATACTCAAATCAACTAGATACAGCATATGCATGCTTTGCATTGCATGAAAGATCTTGCTCTGATCAACTAACTACAGCATGTGCATACTTTGTTTTGCAGAAATTAACAAATTCAATTCAACTAAATACAGCACATGCATACTTTGTTTTACACACATGAATTAACTTAACTCAACTAAACACAGCATTGTGTTTCATGCATGAACCAACTCTTGCTGGAAAAGAAGGTTTACAGCACATGCATGCTTTGCATTGAAGTTTAAAAGCATATGCATTTTTTTTTTTTTAATGCATGAACAAATTCAGCTCAACTAAAAACAGCATATGCATGCTTTTGTATTAAGCTGTACTGCATATGTATTCTTGCTATTGCTTGCATGAACTAACTCATCTCAACTAAATACAGCATGTGTTTGCTTTGAATTGCATGCATGAAGTAACTCTCGCTGGAATATAAGTTTTAGAGCAAATGCATGCATTACCGCTGGAAAAGAAGTTTTACTGCATATGCATATATTGTATTGACGTTTTTCAGCATGTACAAGCTTTGTATTGTACGGAGCCCGGGAAGTCACCTGTAGGAG